ATATTTACTTTAATATAAAAAAGAATGCCCACTTTGTAATAACTATGTCAAAAGTCTGTCTACCCTATCTACAACTTGAAAATGTTTTAATAAAAGGATAACTATCATTACTGAAGATGCTGTGAAGGAATGCCTCAGTTTTAGGACTGAATACCTTCTTTTATAAGGGACACAGTGGACATTGATTTGCCAGAATGTCATGCAAAACCAGGGGGGTGAGTAACTGATAATTAAAAGATCATATGCCTCCTTTTTGAAGCTTTTGATTTAATTCCAGCAAAGTTATTACATTATGACATTATAGTATAATTTCTCCCTTTTTAACTTGGCTGTTACATAGTATTCAACAGCTGCACATTGCACCCCAGAAAACAGTGCACCTTGGTGGAAATGGAAATTATTTCTGGGGTTATAGAATGCACAGAAGTGCTAGATACTCCTGCAGTATAACCCTACTCTGCAGTGAATGATACTAAGAAATTCTAGGTTTGAAAACCATGCTTACAATGCTACTAGATGAAGCTCAAAGTTGAATACCAATATTGAAATCAGATGCTCTGGAGCAGGATTGAGAGAAAAATGTCCTTGTCCTAATTGAGTTCTAGTTTTTGCATACTTTTCTCTCTCTTTCTTGGCCATTCTGATGGATGCATTTCTTGAGATTGACAGAGAAGTCTTTATCCAGTTCTGAACAGATGGAAAAATATCCTATCTGCAATCTTTTCAGTCTCGCAGGAAAGGGAACAACTGAATAGCACCCACAGGCAACAACATTAAGTCTATCACAAGCTTTACTTGTGCTGCCAGAGAAATCAAAAGCCCGAAGTACTTTACCAATCTGTACTGAACAGGTTTCACATTCCCATTTGTTATGATAAACGATGTTCATCTTTCAGAACTGAGGGAAGGCTGCTTAAAGAGTCTCAAAGCACCACAGTTCATTACTATTTGAAAGGCTGAACTACAGCTGTATTAAATCAAGTACAAATAAAGAACAGAATAAAGCAAGAATGTGACAGTTTGCTATACCATCCAGAATCCTACTGGCCATACATTCAACTGTACTGTAGACCTTGCATGAGTCTGCTTTCCCACACTGAGTTCTGAAATGCCAACACTGATATATGTCTCTAGCCAGAGATTTGGGCATTGCTATCACTAGATGTGCTTTTGAATGACAGTGATTGTTGGCATTTTACTGACAATTAAAGCCTCAGATGTGCAGTGGGTACAGAGCTCTGCTTTCCCTCTCTGAATGAGGCCTACTTGGAAGTCTCCAATTTCTGAATCCCTCAGGCACCCAGTACAGCCTTCATAGACATGTATAAGCTCCAGAAAAGACAGGGAGTTCAGACATGTCTCTGGTCTGAATTTCTTGTCTCTGATTCCAGGTGGCTACTTTAAGTAAGTAGGTTTTGTAAGGTGCTTTGTGGGGGTGCTTAGTTCCCCCTGTTGGCTATGTAAGGGAACCCAGACATCCAATTATTTTCTTTAAGCACTTTTTCTTTAAACACTTCATATTTCTGTGTTAAATAAACTGGAAGCACCTAAAAGTTCTTTTAGATTTCACCTGAAAAGCCTGTATTGGGCTTTTTTCTAATATATTTTTTCATTAATTTCTCTCTTAATGGCCCTTTGTAGTCCTTGCTTTCATTAGCAGTCAATACGTGATGATGGATGGAACAACTTCTCTCACCCATGGAGATGCACTCCTTGGTTGAAAGACTTCAGTAATTTTTGAAAAACAAAAATCATGAAACAACAGGTTCTTGAAAATATTTTAAATACCTAAGCTGCCATCAAGGTATTTATGCACTTAACTCCTACTGATTTTATAGAACTGAGCCTGAAACTCCTTTTAAAACTGTCAACATCTAAACTGACAAGAAAGCCAAGACAGCAGGAAGAAAGCACCATTATTCCTACTTTACAGATGGGGAATCAAGACAGAGAAGAGTCAAATTCTTTGCTCAGACTCATACTAGAAATGTAACAAAAGCTAAACACTGATCCTGTCCTATTAGACTTTTCTGAATAGCACCCCTACAGCCTTTGTTTTCCCAGTA